GGGGGGGGGGGGGAGTTCCAGCACAATGGGAACGACCAACAAACTTTTGGAAAATTACTACTTCCATAATAATGTTACATGCATTTAAGGTGTAATTAAAAATGCATTAATTAAACTTACCTTGGCCTTGACGCACATGCAGTTGCAATAGCAAAACAATAACAAACTAAACAAAGCTAACATACACGCGTGCACTTTAAACTTGAACTTGAACTGAAAGAATTAAACTACTGCAGAAGTAAATGGGGAAAGGCAATGGCATGATCTTATATCAGATTTTATAAATGGATATGAATAGGGAGTCCTTAGATTATATTTCACTACTAATCATGTGCGAATACGAGTAGGTACTATAAAAAACAATTCTTACTTTGTCTTGTCTGGTGTCATAATCATTTATGTACACTACTACAAAATGATGTAAAGCAAAACGGTTTATCTTATCACAGGTTAAATAATTTCCGGTGTAATTCAAATTGAAAGTGGTATTTTTTATTTTTATGGGTAGTAAAACAAACAAACACTGCATACTTTGTGTCAAAAAGTAGGTAGACAATGCAAGCGTTGTAAAAGAGTAATCTAATAGTAATCTCTTAATGATTTCTGCCGAAGCGAAGCAGACTTTTATGAAGTGCTCTTTGTATTCTTATTTACTTTTGTTTAATTTAGTAACACACGATTAGTAATAAATTGTTTAATGTTTTGCTCAGTCTTAGGGCGCTACTTACAAGGGCGCAGGGGGATATGTCCCCCTATCCCCCAGGGCCAGCACGGGCCTGCACCTCAATTATTTAAAAAATGCTTCATAAGTAACGGAGGTGATCGACTGGAATTTTTTACTTACCCTGTACAGTGTATAACAAATACGGCGAGTTTTTCGTAAAAGTGAACATATATACTACGCAATTATTTCTATATTCACTTTAAAAACATACATCAATCTAATCAACAAAAATAACTGACACAGTTAGATAACAAATGAATCAATATGCACCTGTAAAGGAGGGAATACACGATGGATAATTACGACAAACGTACGCGCACATGTGCGGTGAACAGCAGCGTCAAACATTACCAACAAAAACACGATCGAACATTTCCTTAGACATCACAGTCGAGTTAGCAACCAACCGCTATATTGTAGTAAAAAAAATGAAAATTTGTTGTGGTTAGCACAGATATCACCCTTACATCTGCGCATGCGTGTTCTGTCCAAAAGCTTTTCAGTTCTTTCTTTTATGACTGCGGACAGTTTGGAAGTAAACATTTATAATGTTGGAAACATATCAAATTTCATTTATTTAAAAGCAGTGGTGGATGAATTTAATGGATCACTAGACAATAGTCAATTCGTTAAATAAAGAAACTAATTTATCAGAAAGAAGTCATAATTGCATTGCATAATGTTTTAGGGCAAAATCTTCTTTTTAAACTCCTGCAATGGGAGATCTTCCAACCCCTCCTTTTCATTCAACCGGCGCGACGTAGATCCTTTTTTGAAATAGACAGAAAAGGACGCGGGTGTAAAATGTAAAACATTTAAGACTGCTTGTCTCTTTTATTTTATTTTATAACGAATGATGGAAGACCATTTATTCACTTTCGAAGAATTCTATACTCTTCCTGTCCAAGTCGAGTCCATATTAAACTCCCGACCACTGTCACCTCTTAGCTCCACTCCAAATGACGCATTTTTTCATCTGGAGACGTAGGAGATTTACCTACAAAACAATTGCCTCGTTACCAAAATTTCCAATGATGCAATAACGTATATGGTATCGATGGTTCAAGAAATATATAGGAGAATTACAACGTCATAAACGGTTTTCTGACACTACTTCTAATTTTCAAATAGGAC